CGCCAAGTTTGGCGACTTTGGGCAAAATTTGGAGACAGAGATTTGTCGCCCAAACCATCGCCAGGTTGGTGATATCTCGCCAAATGGCGAGATAATCATTTGCCTCAATATTAGTAAATAAACTTGCGCCTGTAACCTTATTTTTTCGGTAGTGCTTCTCTTTATCAGGCATTTCATGTTATATTGTACGAAATTCGAAACAGTGTAATAAATTAAATTTAAAACTGCTATATTTTGTTGGCAGTCAGTAATATCAACTGATTGCTATCATTTAAGCCACTAACTGTCAGTTTATTTTATGCATTAAAGTCATCTGTTTAGCTGAAATTAAATTAGCAAACATGAAACGTTAAAATGATTAAACTCAATACGGCTTAATTTAAATACTAGTCTAACCGTCTAGGCTGCCAGATGATTTTATCCTCTGTCGTTACCAGAACATAAGTAAAGAGTTGGAAAATTTTGAAGAGATGTCTTATTTAATTAGCTAATTATTGTGGTTTTGTTTAATCTCAGATTTATAGAAGATAGACAATATTTAGCTTTATTGAATGAAGAGAAATAGGATAACTTACTTAGGAAATTTTATTATGAATAAAAAAAATTTCCGGTTTAACTATGCACTCACACATATTTCATAACACGTATTTTATAAACAAATTTTAAATATGCAACTGTTTTTATAACATTGCCTGACAGAGAAAATGCACCATTGTGAAGATTTTGTTGTATAATTATGCGAAATTCAACTTCTTTGAAGTTCTACGTAATGCAAATGTACAACTACGAAAATGCACAATTTATGTAAATGATCTGAAATGCATATTTGTCACATGATGAATTACCTGGATAAAGTGGAAGGAAAAATCTGATGACTCAATAACTGGTTGGTCCATCCATCATATAGCAGCTGAAACACATCTGTATGTATCCATTGTGCAAAAGACTTGGACAAGATAGTTTGGAAAAGGGAATATGAGTAAGGTCAGGATTATTGATGCATCCAAGACAGGCCATACTTGGAGTGACACACCTACAGACGTACGGTAGTATCCCCGCCCCCGAAAGCAGGACTGTTGATATTGTGCAGAATTAGCAAGGAGCTTTTGTTGATCAAATATTAAAAAGAATCATTCCTCGACAATTCATCGAAAGCGATTTGCGGTCTGCTGCTCTTTACAAAGATTATTTTTGACACAAAGCCACTGGAACCAAAGATTGAAAAGGTCTTAAGATAGAGTTTTTGGACGATTTAATGGCACAAAGTAGAGACCAATCCCCAATCTCGCGTCTGTTTCCCCAGCGACATGGTTGTATGATCCAAAGTAGAGAACAGATCCCAATCTCTCTTCTGTGTCCCCAGTGATATCTCCAAGTAAATATCGACGGGGGGAGAGATCCAATTGTGCTTTGACGATGTGGCTTTACGAATCAGGCCAGACAGAATGTCATCAAAGCATCAAAGGCACAATGACAGCACGCTGACATGTACGTGAAGTGCCGTTACTGTTTGCACTATCCTACTCTCAGCGGTTCCAAATACTGTTATTTAGCAAGAAAATAACCGGAAGCATGTAGCAATCATCAGCAGAGAAGCTCTGAAAGTTACCCAGATACCTCCATGGCCACCGAGTTAGCTACCGAAGAGTTTGTGGGATATGATTGGATTTATCTTTCCAGCCTCAGTCTGTGGATGGACTGTTGAGCATGACTGAAAGCGTTAAGATCATCAGTCTTTCAGGATAGGACCCATATCCTAATTTCTCTAACTTAAAGAGTTACTTCTTGCATTGCCTCAAGAGTGGTCCAGATTCCTACCGATCACCTTGTGGATTCGATCGCTGTAGAGTGTAATGCTTTAAAACTAAAATCGCTTATTGTTGTATGTATTCTCAGTTTGTCTGTTAATTTTATCACATTCTACTCCTTGTATATGGTACTGCATTTTTTATCAGGCAGTCATTATCAACTATATGTCAAAGTCAGGAATATGCAATTTTTGCTGTTTTCACTTGCATCCACTTTCTGCTATATTTTACACCTACAATGTTTTACACTGTGCTAAAAAAGGAAACTGCATAAATACGTGAGATTACTTGAATAGAAGAAATATAACGCGAATTAATGAAAACTAAACAAAACTTAAATGTTGAACGATTTTGCAGGTTTAACATATCTTGCAGCCAAACATTTTGATGTTGGCTTAGATTCGTGACTTTGGCTTGGAGATGATACTTTTTAGAGCGGCTATTCTTACATTTTTTACCTGAATTAATTTTTAGTTAATTAGAAAATTCTGAGCAGTTATTTTTATACTATATAATATGTATTTAAATTACTATCGTAAAAACCAAAACACTGGAATACAGTTGTGGAACTCATTCTTTTCCATATAATTTGATTCCAAATTCATTCTATTAGTTGGGTTCTGTGCCAGAAATTCATTATCACCATCACGAATCCATTAGTAAATATTATTTACTAGTTATTTAAAAATAAAATCTGAGTACGAAAAAAAATTAACATTTAAAATGTTTTTTATGTATAAAATAAAATCTGAAAAATGAAGTTAATGCCAAAAGATGGGAAACAAGTAAAAATTACTCCACGTCTCCTTCGACGGTATTAACAGGGAAGAACAGATAAAGAATATTGCATTGAAGAACGCAAAAGCTGCAAATTCCCAAGCAGTTGGCCGTGAAATCTCGAAAAGTGCTAGAACAGCGCAATTTGGCAGAGATATTTTGTTTAATCAGCACTTTTTAAACTGCCTGGGACTGAAATTTCGTGAGCATCAAATACTTTACGAATACATACAAATGAAGAAAATGCAATCGATAGGTTATTAAAAAGCGATTCCAGTTATTCTCAGTTAATAAATGTTTACTTAACAAAGCTTTATTGTCGAGTTCATCTCGATTACCATAATTTCAGTTTCCAGTTTACATTTATAAAATATTTTTGTATTTTCTTTTACTTATATTATTAGACATAGACTCAAAATTATAATTTGATCAGAAACATGAGCTTTTTAGTAACTTGTTACCAAACATTAAATGTAAAAAAGTATCGATAAATATTGCAGCGATTTTATTAATGCATTTCAAATCATTCAGATACTTAAACATATACACTACGGCATATAAATAATTAATCGTTTTAATTAGTAAAATCTAATGTATGTAGCTAATTTGAAATATAAGAATCATATGGATAAATTGTAGAAAATACAATAACATTAAGGAACCATATAATCTATATATGTAAAGAAAAAAGTATGTGTGTTTGTTCGGTAATAACTTACTATAGTCACTACTATAGCTATCGTCACCAAACTTTCTACAATTCTTTTCTCTGGGTCCTGGATAAGACCGAGGTCCATTTTTTTCCAAGAAAAAGTAGCTAAAATCAGAGATATTAATTAAAAACTTGGAAAAACGATACTTTTTGCCCTCATTTTTCCGAATGGCAACAGTCTCGCAAGCAGGAGATGAAATTCTGCTTTATTTTGAAAGTTGTTGCCACTGCTCGCTTTTAAATCCTAGAGGTCATAAAAAATTTGCAAGTTTTACGATGAAATAAAATAGCATTTCCAAACATTAAATACATTATTCCCTATTCCAAAAATTTGTGGAAAGCCACTTCAACTATTCCCATCTTCGCACGACTTTAAACATCCCTATTAATTAAAAACTCTGAAAGTGCTAATTTTCACACTCATTTTTCCGAGCGGCAACAGTCGCAGAGTTTATAATTAAAAAATTTTTAAGTTTTACAAAATCTATACGTATAAAGAAGAATGCCTGTTTATGTGTTTGTTTGTTTGTTCGTGTTATTGATTTCTGATCAATTATGATAAATGTTTTGCCACATTTAATCGACTAAAATTGAAATATTGGATGCAACTTGAGTCTTCACGACCAATTGATTAGAAAGACAAAAATCATTAAAAACTGATTGAAAATTGAACAAATGTCAATGTTGCAATATAATGAGAGAGAATTAGCTTATTTTTCTATCGAAATTTTTTATGTGGGTTCCATATCGCATCAGATTGAAAAATGTATGACTATGAATCGTATTTTTTGCATCGCTATTAGAGAAGGATTACAGCGGTATCGTTCTCTCTGTTGTTGTCTCTATATATATGATTATATTACAATTTTAAAAAATCTGATGTGTACACCACATGACTTCCTTGTACGGAATATTAAATTATACGCATTTTTCTTGCATTTCATTTAAACTTATTGGATTGAATTAAATCTACTTCGCCGACAGCGCATAAGCCACAATAGAATAAATGCATTCTTTAAAATTCACTATTTGCTTACCATAGCGACACTCTGGCGCTAGATTCACTTAATAGTATTATATTTCGTTCATATTATAACTCATAATGCACAGAATTTTGTATCATTTAAAGAATAGAATTATCTAATCGTTGTCACATGTTCTATTCAAATACTATAATAAATAATAAAGCTAGAATGATGTATAAAAGAATTTAAGCAAATAAAACAAAAAAGAAACAGTTTTTAACAGACGATTAAGTATTTCTCATTCAATTAATTCAGTTCTCACTTCGCGACAAGGCAAAAATACATAAAAAGTCCAAATATCTATATTAAAAATTGTGAAGTAAATCTTAAACACTTATTTCCTCGAAAAAATTCCCGAAAGGATTAAGTATGATTTAATTGGCAATAATAAATGAAGGCGTTATCTTTGTTGTTGCGAAGCTAAGTTTCTCTAGATTGGCAACAAATCCACTAGTCTACTGTTTCAAATGTAAACAATCAATGGCGGCCATAAAAAAAGGCTTAAAAAAAGAAAGAAAAAAAAACTAATTTAAGTGTACATATAATTTCATTAAAATTATTTATATATGCACAAAATTCGTAACAATATATTTGCATTTCGTAATAAATATACTTACATTAAATTTCTCTAGATTGTGCATGAATGTTTCCCTCATTCATATTTGTTATTTTTCTTAGGTCCCGGCAGTTTGATTATGACCCTCGAAAGTATGCGGGTCCCGAGGATCGTGGACCACGGTGGCGCAGTTCGGCTAAGGATAGGGGGCGGCCTCCCTTGCCGAATGAAGTGGGTCCGGATGTTCGAAGAGTCATGGTTCGTCGCAATGGAGTCCGCTTCCAAGGTAAAAATCATCTTATCCTTATGATTTATGTTCACGATTTATAATGTTTGTTGTAACTGTTTAAAGGAAAAAGTATTCACTTATAACAAGGCTAACTCACACTAGTTTTTACATTATATAATTATAATATAACCAATCAAATGATTATTTCTGAATCATTAAGATCGTGGAACAAAATCTGCACATTTTGCTTGCATCGGATTAGAATAGAACCAGATCAGTCTTTTTTATGTTTAGGTGAAAGTTGTTTAGTCAATATTATAAATCAAGAAATGTGATTCATGATATCAGTATTAATTTAAATGTAAATGTTAGAGGAGGGGAATTAGCACAAAAGTGTTTAGAGCGGCAACAGACAGACTCATGGAGAGGGAAAATAATTTATTTCATGCAGCGGCAAAACATTGCTTTTGAATCGCTGAGTTTGCTGCCTCGCAAGTAGCTGCAGACCACAAAAAGATATAAAATTGGTATAATATATCATAACATTTCTTAGTCGTAGTAACTTTTGGCAAAGCGCAGTTAAGCATGATAACCCTTTGAAACGTCGTTGACAAACACGAAGACATTGAGAAAAGTTTCTGAGTAAGCAATTCGTTTTCAATATGATAGTCAGAAGACAATCCGTGCAGCAGAACAGTTACAGAGCGCAAATGGAGCAACAGCATGCTCCACAGGTAGATTCATCATCGCAACTGAAGTGAGGCTAGTAGTCAAGCAATCACACGAGGGCAGGAAAGAAAGATGTCGATACACAGTGGAAAGCTTAGCTATTGGCTGTGAATGGAGAGAGTACCAGTAGGCTTCGAGGAAGATGAGGAGGATCGATTCAGAATATCATTTTTTAGAAAGGTTAGCCGAAAAATAGGAAGCGGGGATAGTACCACAAAAGTAATAATTAATTTAGTGCTTTGAATATCTTCCCAGGGCGTCTTTCGTTCGTAATTGAATTGTGGAATAGAAGTGTCATTGAAAGTTTTAAAACGATTTCTTGATATTTTAGCCATAAATGTTGCTGTTTTTTAACACCTAGTTCTTCCTGAATACCATTATTTCTATGAATTCCTATGAATACCGATATTCCGATAGAATGGCTCTGGAAATTAAGCTGAGAGTCATATTTTGATATCTTTGAAGGATATCCAGATTTGAGTTAGATGCAAGCCACCAGATAGGACAAGCATAGATAATAATGGCCCACAGCATAGATTTACAGATTAGTAACTTGTTATCTAATCAAGGAACAGAGTTCCTGTGAATAAAGCGGAAGAGTAAGGCTTTAAACTTCTGGAACTTAAAAATTACTTGTGTAATGTGGAATTTCTATGTTAATCTTTCATCATCGTGTTTTCATCGCTAAGATATTTTTTATCTTCTGGGTCCATGGGATACCTGTGTCGTATATATTGATGGTGATAAGGCTAATTTTACATCTGGTGAACATAACCGCTACCATCTTATCAAAACTGAATTTAATTATCTAGTAGTTAGCCTGAATTCCAGTGCATGTATGTGAATTCGTAGAACTTGAGCTACTGAACACAAACATGCATTTTGGCACATGCATTTGTATCATTGTGTCATCAATGTGCATTGCAAGAATAATGTTAGGGGAATGAGTATGTCATTCACATAAATTAGGACTAGGACAAGGTCGAAGAGAGTTCCATGTGGAGAGGTTAGTATTAATTTACCAGTGTGTGGAATATGCGTCATGAAAGCGAACGACAAAGTATCTATCACACAGATAGGATTTAAATTTGTACGTAATATAGTCTGGGAAAATAAGAGTGATTAATTTGTAGGTGATCCTTATCAGCGAAGCACGATCAAAAGCCTTTAAAGATCAAGGAAGAGACCCCAGTGGATACCTTATTTGGCAGTCCTTGTGAGATAAAATCCACAACTCTTAGCAGCTGATGCACAGTGGAATGCTTATGACGAAAGCTGAGTTGTTCTACGATAAGAATGTTTTCTTTCTTGTGGGAGCCGATCATTGTTTGAAAGATTACTGCATCAGCAGACTTGCTAAAACCCGGGAGCAGCCTGATTGGCCGGTACGAAGCAGGGTTCTCCGCAGATTCTTGGCTTCAGTACCTTCGCAGTTACTGCCGTTCCCCATGGAGTTCGGAAATTAGATATCCAAATGGAGAGAGTTTATCCGAATGCGTTCGTTGATTAAATATAAAAGACGGACTATACCAATATATCAATATATATCTTATGTTTTTCCGAATGGCGACAAGTTGCTTATAAAGTGCTGAGTTTTCTAATTAAGTTTGAAGCAAACATTTTCCGTTTGACGAGTGGTAACAGGCGGCCTTTAAATTCCAAATTTGTTGATGAAAAATTCAATAAATTCAAGCAAAGTACGAATAAAAAGAAAATTCAAAGCTTTAAATCCAGGCTCCGAAATGCACATGTTCAAGTGAAGGATTGTGTGTGTTCAAAATTTGTGGCTCTAGGTGCCGCCGTTTTCTCGCAGTGCAAGGAACATACATACATATTGTTGCATGCGAACGAGTTCGAATAAATTGAATGAACAAGTCTGATAAAAAGTCAATAAAATTTATTATCACAAGAAATAAAACAAAATGCTGAAAATTTTCCTCCCAGATATTCATGCAATATCACACAGTAGTTATATTTTAAACTACTAAAACGTTAAACAGAACTCAATTCAAAGCTCAGAGGGAGCTGATCCGATCTCACAGCGAATTCGCTGCAATCAAAAACAAAAACTTAGTAAGAATCTGTTCTGAGATGTTTTCCTACGGCTTTTATAAGCTTTTCAATCATGCACGAGAACACATAATAATGCACAGATGCACATAATAATTTTTATTTATATTATGCCAACACGTCATTATTATGAGATGCAAATTTGAATGTGCAATTTAATGTTGAAATAATTGTTTAAATCGTTCACAAAAGATTTATTTTTTAATGCAGAGTATTATTAAAAAATCTAGTAAAACTTTATCTGAAAGGACACGCTAAATTTTTTTCTCTTCTGAATGTATTTGTGTTTTTCTCATGTAAATGTTTTATGAAGAAGTACTTCCACAATGTTTGGATACTTATCTTTTGTGAAATAAGCGTGTGAATGTACTGCAATTCAAAAATATGTTGTTCATACTGATTAAACATGTTCCAGTGTGAGAACATCTTTTGAATATCTTTTTCTCTGCCCGTGGACAAGAGTGGGAATTTTTCTCTTTAGCAAGGAAACTTCGAAAAGAAATAAATGGCAGCACAGATGAATAATACTTAACTTTCTTTAAGTTGCGGGGCTGAAAATTGAGGTTGGTTGGGAAAAAGTCTCATTTCTTGCTTGTCCTTTTGTGCACAGCTAAAATCAATAACACGTAGATTAAATTTTTTTTTCTGTATTTTTTACAATCAATCTTCATTCTTATCTTTTTTGATGCGAAACGATTCTCGATACTCTTTCACTGGCATCGAAAGAACAAAAAACATTCTGCTTTTCAGGCCATGCGTGATTCATTAAGAACTGTAGTCCACTATACTATACTAATATATTCCAATATTGAGCTTTTGTAATGAAGTAACATTTCGATTGCTTGCAGCTCATTATGCATGAAATATCGATCTGATTTTAACTAATTCGAAGCATTTATCGTATTATAACTTCCCGTTTTACTTGAACTGTTACTTGACTAATTGCTTTAAGTGATTTCTTTGTTTGGCAATGGATTTTTCCAAAAGAAAAATTATGACTGTGATAGCATTGAAAACAGACTCCATGTGTTTATTTCGGTGTATACGTTACTAAAAAGCAAATTTACTGTTTTTTGTATCATCATCATGGATTCTGCCAATATGCGGATTCTACCAATACTTCCACATGAAAAGGATATTTGAAAAGGTGTTTTAAGACTCTTTCACTCAGATACCAATAGATTATTTATCTTTCAAAACTTCTGCTTAGTCGTCAAGTTTTCTACCACTTTATTCTTATGGTGGTTTACAAATCACCTGCCATATCAATGGATATAGCTAAAATCTTATGTGGAGATTGAACTGGACTATTCATTTATGACAAAGTACATTAGGAATATACGATTATGGGACAAGATTCTTTCGTGAAGTATTTTCTAAAAAAAATTGGACCATTTCTAAAGAAAACCAGGATTGCAGTAGGCAATAGCCTAGAAGAAAATTCGGATTGTAATACAAATCCAGACTTTAATCTTTTGACCACAGATGGGCTGTGAGTTAAGTGTACATACTTTTATTCTTGTTATCTGCATTAGAGATGGTCAAAACCGATCACAACAGTTTGCTTTCACTGAAATGAATGCGTTCTTTTTTGTGACTCACAGCTCACTAACAATAACCTAAATAATAAAGATCCGGAACGAGTTGCGAATCAAGAGCAGTTAGGAAGGATGGATCGAAGAGCGGAAAGAATCGAACGAACATTTTGACTGGAAACTCTCAGTGAGGTTGGAGCAAAACACGAAAAGAATAGAACGAGAAATGGAATCGGAAAATTGTCTCAATCAAATGCTAACTTGTTGAACTGATTATATTATTCAATTGTAGTTTTAAAAAGAACTTAGCATAAAATCCTAGAATAAATTTTTTTTAAAACGTTGAGAACTGATGAAAATTAAACTTATTTTTAACATGGGATGATAAATATTCTTTTCTCCCCTAAAACTGAAATCGAACTTTTCTCGCACGCTTCAAACAAGGGCTTCCTTCTTTTTTCGCCAGTCAGGCGTTCGCTTGCTTAATAAAGTAAATTCGTTCGTGAAAGTTTAGCAGATCTCCACTCCTGGCACGCTTCCAACAACAGCTCTCCGTGAACTTTAAAAGAACTACAACTCCGTTTTCTGGAGTACGTTCACTCAGTAAAGTGAATCGGTTCTTTGAAGCAGTTCCGGAGCGGATCATCCAACTCTAGTCTATACAGATGTTAAGAGGTATATAAAATATGTAGCATAAACTCTTTAATCATGTAAAGAACTGAA